GGAAAAAAAAAAAAAAAAAAAAAAAAAAAAAGAATATCCTTGAAGATTTTAGCTCACACACTTTCCAGTGACTTAGATCTAGGTGTACTGAGGGCACCTGCCCCCGGAACGATCCCCACTCTGCTGCAATTCTCTTACATACATCACAGGCTGTAGTCCTGTGTAAGTTTTCTGGTCTTTCTCCGTCTCAGCATTCCTATGTGTTTTCCTAAAGGGTTGGGCTTTGGCCCCCTAACTATAGGCTTTGGCCTTCTAAACTAAGGACTTTGGTCCTCTAAACTATAGGCTTTGGCCTTCTATGCTGAGGACTTTGGCCCTGTATAGTTTATGTATCTTAATTCTATCTCATTAATAACTTCTTAGTCAATATGCGCAATAAGAGAATAAACATTATTCTGAGTAAATGCATGGCATGAACCCACTGAAGGCGGAGAGGTCTGTTAAATTTGGTCATGACGTGGCCTAGGAAGTCTGGGTGGGAACAGTAGCAGGAGCAGCTCTGCCTGAGGACACTGGCAAAGGCCCCATAGGGTGCAACGTTGGACTGGGTGACACGCACCTCCTAACTGCTGACGCTGGCATGCTAGAATATGCCTCTCTCTCATCTTTATTAGCTACACAGTGCAAGGCTAAGACAGTTGTTGGTAATAAGGCTCACAGGTGATTGCTGGCCTGGAGAACCACATCAGGGATGTCACCCTGTCCCCAAGGTCAGTCTGGAGTAGGTGTTCCAGGTGTGTGTGCAGGTGGTCAGGAGAGCACAGCGTGAAGTGCTCATGCCACATGCAAACACGAGAACGTCCACCAGTCCCTGGAGAGGGTCCTGTGGGAGTCCACGGTCGGGAGTCCCCTGAGGTTCCAGGATTAGGAAGGGGTGTCACCTGCTGCAGAGCACCGTCAGGACTCGTGGGCTCCCCAACCAACCCTGCCCAATCTCTCTGAGCCTTAATTTATCTGGACAATGAAAGTGTGAAGCTGAATAATCCACGGTGTTTGTTCCTGCTTTAAAATGCTGATTTGTTGGGCCGGCCCGGTGGCGCACTGGAGAGTGTGCCACTTGGGAGTGTGGCGGCGCTCCCGCTGAGGTTCGGATCCCATGTGGAGACCGGTTCCCGCTCACTGGCTGAGCGTGGTGCGGGCGCAACACCGAGGGTTGCGATCCCGTTACCGGTCAGTAAAAAAAACAAAAAGGAAAAAAAAATGCTGATTTGTTGTATGGTGAGGCAATTACCAATTCTTAGATCAAATTTCTCTAATTTGCTAATTTAACAAGATTCAAAAAAATCAGAGCCAACTTAAAATACAGTAGCTTCTCCATTTTTCATGCACTTGATGTGACCACAAAGGTCTTTCTACTAATCAAGACCTTTATCAAAGGGCCTCCGCACCTGGAATCCCACGTGGCAGGGGCAGGGGTCGTTCGAGGGGAACCAGCCACAGAAGAGCTGGCCGGTGAGGTGAAACCAGACTGCTGGGCATCAGGGCTGAAATAATGCCACAGTCTCAACTTTGCCTTTTTCTCTCCCTTCTCAGAGTAGAAAAGCAAAGCTCAGAAGCACTCCCACGAAAGCCGTTCGAATGCCCCTTTGCTCTTTGGCTCCCACTGACAGACACTCACCGTGTCCTCAGCGTCAAGAGCTGGAGGCTGTGTGTCTCCGACTCAGTGCCCGGTGCCCCCGGATGCCCCCACAAGGACACAGAGCAGAAAGGCGACCTCCGCTCAGCTGCCTGCTGTCTGTTGGTGGAACTTTGTCCACGGTCCCTTTCTGCTAGATCTCGATCTTGACCTGTCTCTCTTCCTTCCCCGCCCCCAACTTAAAAATCTTTAAGTTGTTGCCTCAGTAGGTTGGGGCGTGACCTGGCAACACCAAGGTCAAGGGTTTGGTTCCCTGTGCCAGCCAGCCACCAAAAAGAAAAAAAAAAAACCTCCTAGGTGTTTATTGGCCATTTACATTTCTTTTTTGGACTGTCTTCATGATCTTCAGCTATTGCTTTCAATTTATTAAGAAGTATTTGAAACGCACACAGAGTATCAATAATGATGCACCAAAACCTGTGTGTTCTCCACGCAGCTTTAGAAAGAAAACTTGACCAATGCAGTTGAAGCCCTCCACCTGATCCTCCCCACCCCCTGCCATCCCCAAGAGGTCACGACCCTACCCCCCTTGAGGTCATACGGCCCATGCATGTCATTGTGTTTTTACCACCCATGTATGTTTCTGTACTATTTCCTGTGCTTATGGCTGCATCCGTGGCAACGCGCCTCCCTAGACAACGGATCCTCTAGAACCACGCTGATGCTGAAATAGCTTAAACCCAATCGCTCACTCGTTAGTGTACTTTCTTAATCATAAAGGTAGATAGTTCATCTTTTTGTCCAGGGAAAAACATGTTGGTGACAATAGCAAATAGATGGTTCTGAGACCATGATAGTAGACAAGGAACAGGACATCTATAGAACAGACACCAGGAAGAGCTCGTGCTATGAAAACCTCTCTCTACACTCTTTTCTCGATGTTCCAATACAAGAAGAAGGAAGGAGACCTCACACGCAACCCGTCTGTGGCTCCTTCATTCATCCATCCATCCATCAACACAGGTTTCCCCAAGAACCCACCACGAGTGCCAGGCACCGAGCCCCGTGCTGGGATATAAGATGAAAAAGACACAATCTCTAGTGACTCCGAGCTGAATTAAGGAAATAGACAAGTAAATAATAATAGCCAAACAATAGCGATAGCTCCCAGTGGGGGAGCAGTTACTATTTCCAGGCATTTGCTTCGTCTGATCCTCATGTGAGACACAGAACAAAACAGCACCTATGGGAAATGGGAGATGCAAAAACATAAGAAACGTACTAGGATCACACAGCCAGCCAGCAGGGGAGCTGGGATTTGAACCTAGGCAGCCTCACTGCAGGGCCTGCGTCTTTACCGACTTCATTGATGGCCTCTGGAGAAGATCGGTTATTAGGGTCGAATGAGATAAGAGCCATGACAGAGAGGCGAGAGGTACCGTGGGATGCTGACGTCCTGAAATCCTTCTTTGACGGTGGCTTGGTGGTGCGGTTCAAGGAGACTCTGCAGAGCAGAGGAGCGCCTCCTTCAGCACAGACAGCAGATTCAGCCCATGCCCTGAGCACACTGCAGGCCTCAGTTTACCTCTGTTAGTTTGGTGTTGCAGCACTGTAATAAGCTAGTCTTAAGTCTACCAACTTGCTCAGTTGGGCGACAGAGAGATATCCTATTTGTAAAATGAGATGGGTCTTGCCAGGGGTCACTGAGCAGACACCTGGGGGGCTAAATTGCTGCAGAGGAATTCCTCCTTTAAAGAGGGACAGGAGGAGGTGGCCTGGGCTGTCGGGTCCAGCCAGACTTTATCTACTTTTGCGTTGGTGCAGAGTCAGAGGGCCCAGCTTCTGAGCAAACACGACAGCTGCTTGGAAATCATGAGAAGCAAAAGATGGAAAATTAACACAAGAGCAAATCACGGAGGGTTTGATATGAGGAAACATGAGCTACGGGGAAAACATCTGTCGTCCATACGGTGGGGTGTGGCATGAGCCCCTCGGGAGGCGCGTGCAGACAGACCGTCTGCAGAAGCCTGCGTCAGCTTCCTTCCTGTTGCAGTCCTTTCCTGGAGAGACCACTCACCAGCAAGTAAGGATTTAACATTTAGTTGCTAAAATGGGTTTCCACGATGGCAACAGACCCCTAAGTGTACCGCCTCCCTGCACATGGGCTTGGATAACTGCAGTTTCCAGGAACAGCTCTGTTTCGAATTAGGCAGGAAAATTCCCCTCGCCTCAGGCTCTCAAAAGGAAAATTCCACATGTACTCTGGTGCTGTGCCTACGCACGTCGCTGCAATGACTGCCGTCACTGTCCCTGTAAATGCACGCTCAGGCGCAGCTGACACCTGCGAATGGGTATGCTTGCTGTCTGCCTTTGGTGGCCCTCATGCCACAGTGGTCTCTTCCAGCAGGAGCTACGTCCAGTAAAGGTCCTCTGTACCAAAATTCAGGAAACTTACAACGTAGGTGTGCCTTTTCTGGAAGAAAGCTTTGCAGTATGTATCCAAATCCCTAAAAATGTTTACTCCTTTATTATTGTGTAGAACTCTTTGGGTGGCAAGAAAGAGAAGCCTACTCAAGCTCACCTGGGAGAATTTCCTACAAGGGCACAGGCCTGTTCCTGTCCTTCCTGCAGCCTGGCCTCAGGCAGGGACGGGAGGTGTTTGGCTATCAAGGAGCCAGGAGGTTGGCGTCCCTTCCCCTCCAAATCATGCTTCAAAAGAATAAGATTCTCTCTTTCTTTCAGTCCCTGCTGCCCAGAGATTGTCTGACCTGTCTTGCGGGCACAGTTTCAGGTTCCTAAGTAAAGCCCCCAACTGGCCCTGGCCTGTTGCCAGGGAGACAGGACACGTGGCATCATACCGCCAGGGCCATAGGGTGGGGTGAGGGGGCTGTGGGTCCAGGAAAAGTGGGTTTGCCCTAAGGGCCTTCCTCCGTTTGCCCTAAGGGCCTTGGTGTCTATAAAAGCCCCCAAACATAGGTTTGGTTAAATAAATGATGTATTCCCTTATTTTGGAATACTATATGACTTTTAAAATCATGTTTCAGAATATTTAACAAGGTTAAAAAAAAAGTTCGTAATATTGTCGAGTGAAAGGGGTTAGTTACAGAGTGAGATTTATTTTTAGCATATAATAAGGGTAACTTAATTGCATAGAAATAATTTGCTTGTTATTTTTAGTATATAAACACGTATGGAGAAAAGACCAGAGTGTATACAACACAGCAGTCACATAGTTATATTTTGTATGTGTGTGTCTGCTATTTTCCAATTTTTTATGTTGACATTTATTACTTTTATAATCAGAACAAAGTTGCTTTTTTTTTTTTTCCTTTTTGTCTTTTTTCGTGTCCGGCAATGGATCGCAACCCTCAGTGTCGCGCCCGTACCGGACCGGGACCGGCAACGGGATCGCAACCCTCGGTGTTGCTCCCGCGCCTCGCTCAGCCAGTGAGCGGGAACCGGTCTGTATGTGGGATCCGAACCCTCGGCAGGAGCGCCACCGCGCTCCCAAGCGGCGCACTGTAGCAGTGCGCCACCGGGCCGGCCCCAAAGTTGCTTTTTTAAACGAACCAACGAATTCAATAAAATTTTACCTGAGATGGGAATGGAAAAAATACCTCATAATTTACATTCTGAATCAGGTATTTTCTAATTTCTAAAGCCGACATACAAATAGGGAATGGTCTTATTGCTCAC